AAAAACAAGATGAAAATTAAGAGAGAACAAACACTTACCAAACGATGAACGACTCACAATAAGCACATGGCAGACAACACGGCGCGCGGGGTTAATCGGTTAGGGAACCACACGGACACTGGACATACTGAAACGACGGATATACGCACTAACTCAAAACTGTTGAGAAATGCCTCAACATCGGCTGATAACTGTCATAAATTTAAGACACGTAATACCAGCAAATTCGGTATAATTGATCCTTTTTGACAATACAGTAGATAAAGAGAAGATCTGAAGTGGAAAAGGGTTAACGATTCTCTATAATCTCCATAGTCGATGTTTCTGCATTGGCATCAAAGCGAAAATGAGTAGATCACGTGACTTTTCAGTGTGATAATATAGTTGGTCGAGGCGCGCAAAGCATGCTAGCTAACTTGACATCCTCCTTTAGTATTCCCTATATTTTAGCAGTGTTTCTTAGTTTTTCAGTCTGATTTTTAAATAGTTTTATGACTGTTTTCATATCTTTTATATGTTAATTAGTTAATTTAATATTTAGTATATAATTTTAATACTTTAGTATTTGTAAATATTTAAGCAATTCAGTCAGCTAGCTATTGCTACTGCCATGATATTTTTTATCAATAAATAAATCTATCTATATCTATCTATCTATCCATTAGAAAAAATGTCCTCTTGCAACACGAAAATATGCGTGTCATTGAAAGCTTACCAACCTACTTCTTTATAACCGTAACATGAAAAAAAAAATTATTATTAATAATTAAGTAAAAAAATTATGAACACCTCAGTTTACAAATATTTGAAATACGAAAAAATAGCAAGCATCACTATTTTAACACTTTTCTTTATAAATGTTATTGGTTTTGAGAAAAAAAATACCCAAAACTTTTTCATGCTTTTGTTGTATTCATAATTTTGTGCAACTATGGGGAAAATTTACAGGTTTCAGCTCTTAAATCAACCGCCCTTTTCAGACCATTTAAGGAGTGTAATTATTAAAGGCAATCATAAAAAGACTATAAATTATGGAGTATTTACGAACGTATAAACGTCAAGTTCACGTCTCCATCCAATCGCTTGTGAATAAAGCCACCATCAATTAAACGAATAATTAGCGGTATTATTAAACGAATTAATTATTATCATCAATATTTGCATTTGTAGCGTGTTTTTATATAGCTGTTTTTTGTTGTTTAGTGACAGAGTAGTTGGCAACATGCTCTTCTCGGGGCGTTATCGTTCTTTGGTCGTCCTGGTCGTTTTCTTAACCTTGTTGTTGCAGGTGGATATTTCACGGTCAGGTACTTATTTTTAATGTGTTTAATGCGAAGTGACGGAATAGAGAATCATAGAAGTGATAATTTTACACGTTCAGAGGCATATCAATTACGTGCACGTATCGCTCAATACTCGAAAACTGAGCTGTTGTTGTTTTGTTTTTTTGTCACCCACCCATTTTTTTTCTTTAAATCATGAATGAAGAGAAACACTTCGTTTTTTAGCCTTGCTAGCTAAATGTCAAGATGAATTATATTCACGCCTAAGCTGCACTTGAGCTCTTTTTGTAAGCATTTTCTTACAGACTGTTTCGCACTTATTACTAGAAATTCAAAACAAAAAAAATCGCTTGGTTTGTAGTTTGCGATCATTTCAATTTATTCCATGTAATAATGATTTTCAAAAATATGATTTATTTATTTAATGATTATCTATACTAGTTCTCCTTCTCCTTCTCCTTCTCCTTCTCCTACACTGTTCCCATATAAGTCATATAAGTGAGTTTGAAAAAAAATTTTTTTATTTGATATACACTCTAACTTCAAGTCAAAGTTCTCGTCTTGTTTTTCTTTGAAATCATGTTCGCTGTAGTTCATGTGGAAATCTTGTAAAAGAAGTCGTAAAAGAAGGATTTAAATTCTGCGTGGAATGTGGTAACTGTTTGAAAAGTTCTTTCTCCGATGAGAGTAGCAATGTTGCGTCTAGAGATGTCGATACCATGCCTAAATGTTAACTTCTGCGGCTAAAAATCATATGATTACACCTTCGGAAGGAAACATTATTGCTTGTCAGTTATACATCAATACTATAAGTCTCAAGAGTTTTTTTTTTTTTTTTATTCAATTGAGCGATCTTGAAACGAGAACGGCTTCCACACAAATATTTGCGATTTGAAGACCGGCGCCATAATTATGCAAACGCGCCAAAATATGCTGACTTCTGCGGCAAAAAATCATATGATCTCTACTTCGGAAACAATATTTATTATATAATTAGCTATGAAATATCTATTTTTCTCTATTTCGAAAAATTGATATCTTCACATGTGAAAATAACATGTTATTTTCACGTGGGAAAATAACACCATTGCGATGGCTATTCAAAAATACACGGAAAGAATTGCCTGAAAAAGGCAAAACATACTTCATTGATATTTATATAATAAACAGAATATTACATGGGCGCGCTTCATGTAATATCCTCTATTTATTACTTGTCAGTTATACATCAATATACTATAAGTATCAGGTTTTTTCATTATTAAGCAATCGAGTGATCAGGGAACGAGAACACATAGAGGCCATACTCAAAATCTCTTTTCGAAGAGGTGGCTCTAAGCCTTTCGAAACATTCCATTTTCGATAATGTATTCAGGCTCGTCTCCATATCCCTCACACCTCCCTGCCTAAATCAAGCGTTGCAAAAATAAGTATTCCCCAGTCTTCCTCTGTCAAAATATTTCAATTTTTTTTTACCATGCCTCTAACTTGTGTTTTGAGCTCTGGGGCGTGCTTTAGTTTTTGAAAATATTCGTGTTTCAGAATATGGTTTCATGTTTTGGTAAATCGTGTGTTTCAGAACACTCATCGTAACAAAATATCCTCATATCATTCTAGATACTGTGTGCAATAAACCCTTAGGAATTCAAAATGGCAACGTCAAGGATCATCAAATGTCTTCCTTTAAAGCCTACAACGGCGATATATCCATATATGGAGCAAAAAACGCTAGGCTAATGAAGACGTCATCACCACAGGGATATCGTGGGGACAAAAGTGCTCCTAAAGAGTCTTGGATAACGGTTGATTTTGAAAAGAAACTTGTGATTACAGCAATTGCTACACAAGGATATGGCGACCCGACAACTGATGAATGGGTTACAAAGTTCGTCTTGTTGTACTTTTCCAATGGACAAAACTTTAAGCCGCTTAAAGATGAGCACGACGACATCAATGTAAGGGCATTCATCACTTTTAAACTTTCGGATTTCTTAATTTTTGGTGATATTATTAGTTTAGTGTGATGAGAATGATGATAAGACTGAACATATTGGCGTGATTGTGCTGATTACTTATGAGTTGATGATGATGATGATGGGGTAGATGATAATGATGCCGCGATAAATATGTGATAATTATAGTAAAATGATGATGATGATGAATTTCGAAAATTAATATATAATAAATGGTCTGGAAATTAGCAATTTTTATCAAAATACTATATTCAACGATATATCCTGATTTATTTATAATGTTTTCATGGTTTTCATGTCTAAAAAAACAGATATTTATTGGAAACAACGACAGCAGTACTGTTCATCGTCAAAACATACCTTTGCCTGTGATCGTGTCCCAGATCATCATATTACCGAAGAAATGGAACAATAACGTAGGGCTGCGAATGGAGTTATATGGATGTGAACCAGGTGAGCAAGCATTCCCAAGAGAGTTAAAAGACAAAAACATGGCGGCCATTGTGGTACCGTTAACCATGGATGCTAATGAGAAATTTGTCGTTAAATGGTACCAACATGGCCGCGATGACGTAACGTGCAAACGAAGAATACTCCAGTTTGGAGTCGTCTTTTCCTTAGCAGTAACATCGGGTCTGCGTTCACATATTCAATCATTCAACCAAAACTTGTGTCGGAATTTTAATTAACATTGCTCAGTACTTGTAAGCCCAACTTCAAAACCTGCGGAGTTGAATGTCATTTTCTTCATGAAATAGCAATAAATACACTCAATTGCAAAATCCTTGTCGGGTTGGAATCATATAGAACATAAAAAGCTGAGACCGAAATGGTACATGGGAAGTACGTTGTGGAACACATCGTTTCACTCGTGGAAAGTTCATACATTATTGCACGAACAAAAAGCATGGAGGCTTTTTACACGTTTCATATCAACTGTGTATCTTTTCTGAATACAACAGAGGATAATTATGTCATTTCTCTCATGTTTTGAACCCGACAACGTTTTTGCAATTGATTAAACATACCTCACTAAAAGATAGAAATTCAAGGAAGTGGATTTTAAAAGGTTCTTTATATTATTTGTGTTTTTTTAATGATTATTCAATAATGTTAGTGTAATAACAGACCCTTTCTGCTTCACAGATTTTTACATAACTGTGTTGTTGATGCTCTCTGATCGACCTTTCACAATGGAGTTCTTAAACAACCAAAGCTACGATTATGAAGTAGCAAAGGAGGAGTCCTTAACAGAGGTAACACGACTGGAAAAAATGAAATAAATTCGTAAAGCTAATAATACGTTTATAGTCTCAATTACAAATCTTTTGGAAAAAGTTCCGTGTTATAAGTAAAGCGGACGTAAAAGAGCTGGGGGCTCTGCATTCATTGTCATATGAAAACGAAGGGTTGGATTTTTTTTTTTTTTTTTTTTTTTTTTTTTTTTTTNTTTTTTTGACCATGGAATTGGATAGATTCGCGGGCGAAATCAAGATCTAGATTCTCAGAAACCAATTGGAACGCGCAGTTCAGTCAAATATAGATAGGAATAATTTAAGGTCAAAATTCAAATATAGATTAAGAAATGTCTAACGTGGTTATTTCAGCAATTACCAATGGGGGGGGGGGGGGGGATAGAGAAAACTCATTTCCGCTCTCTATGTATATATTTTTATATTAAACATCTATTTTTGGGCCAAAATATTACAATGTATAAAAAGCGTTATCTTTCATACTCCAAGTTTTTGAAATGTGATATGGTTGATTATAACCTATAGCGCATCTTTAATGCAGGCGCAGACATACTGGGAAACTGTACCAGGTTTTTTGGAAATCATTTTCAAAGGTTTCAGGTAATTATTATATCGACTACCTTGAATTTTGCAGACATACTAATGTGGCAAGATGAATGATTATATGGCAGTTACTCTATACTTTTTACGCACTGACCAATAATTTATCTTTCCTATTAAATATTAATATTCATAAAAGAAAAACCCCATTAATTTATTGCCAGCTGGAGGCCTTGGGATTATGACATTCGAGGGGCTGTAGAACTTTCCAATAAGTTGGAGGACACAAGTGTAATTTTCTTTTTTTTAGACGAAAAGCTTTAAAATTCCCAACCTCGCCCAGCCTATTCCATCCTATCCTTTTCTAATGGTTACATGTTTATTTCAGTCCTCAGCAGAGTTCATTCCTTAGAACTCTAACAGCTGTCGAGTTTGATGTTTATTGTCTGGAGTCACGACTTACTGATGTCCTGAAGAAAATGAAAACGTTCATCCAAGACAGCTATTTATTCGACTCCAATTTCTACCGCCTACGATATTCAAGTACTTATTACTATGCCGTTTTTGATGTTCTGTGAACTCGGTAGCTGCAAGCTGCACGCTGATCGAAATTGGATTTTTTGCTTCAGTCAATAAAAAATAATCAGTTGAAACCTCTTATATTTTTGACTTCATTAACGGCAGCGAAAAACTAGTTTTTACGACAAGCCGTTGAAATGTCTGAGTTCACAGAATATTGAGAATCGCAGTGACTCAGCTAGTACCTAATACTGTTGATAGAAAGATTATAAACATGAGAGAATTGTCATCATTAATGTAATGCCTAATCGGCCCATTTTTTTTTCGTCAACCTCGGAATAAATAATGGCATGAGAACATAAACAACACTTGAACCACCTTGAACGTTGGTATTTTCTATACGTGTCGCACGTTTTTTGCAGTCCCATAATAATGTTTTCATTTTTTTAGGAACCGCTGTACATTGTCATCCACCGACAATGAACGTCATATCAGATCTAACAAGCTCAAGAACTGCTTTAAGTTTCAGGGGTTCATCTCCTTCTTTCAGGATCGAAATTACCCACAATTGCTCGATGAAGCCCACAATCTTTACCAGCTGCAGCTTCGCAGTTATCCATCAAAAGACTGGTCGTCTGTCATCCTTCGTTCCAATTAGTTCGCCAAACGCTCGTCAARTTACCTTTAACCCAAATGCCTATAGAAATTATCATCTTATTTATTTACAGTGTCAAGCTAATACTCATGGTTTTGAAGGAAACTTTGCGCAAAATTACAGATTTATAAGAATTGTTGAGGCAAAACTGGTTCCTAGAATAAAAGGCTCTGAATACGCTATCAAAGGTGGAAACAGCCTGGTGCTTGATGGCTCTGAATCACACGTGAATATAAAAGACGAATATTCAGATTCTATCCGCATGACTTTCTCTTGGTATTGTCAGACTGGGAATATTAGTGATGTGAGAACAGGATCCAAGGCAAGTGATGGCATAGAACTTAGAGCAAGAGGTTGTTTTAACAATTCCATAGAAGAACCCATTTCGAGAAACAAAACTTTGAATATTGACAATATTTATCTTACTGAAAGAGAAATCTATGTGTTTAAACTTATTTTTCAAGCAAATGGGCTCGCTGCCAGTATCAAACAACAGGTTGCTGTGGAAAAGCACACAATTGTATCAATCGTGTAAGTACAAGCCATCGAATCAAAAAGAAATACAGAAAGCATATTATTCGATTTGAATCATATACAGCAAGCTTTTCCCCTGATTCAAATAAAGCCAAAAAATACCTTCAAAATGCATTGATACATTTAGCCTGATTTAAGTAATGACGTRGCTTATTCTAAAATGAATTTAGCTCGTTAGGTCTAACGGAATACCCCTCGAATCAAAAGAGACCTAACAATCTCCACTCACATGAACTCGAATCAATACATGAATCCAAAAATGCGGTAGCTTATTTGTTTGTTTGTTTGTTTGTTTGGTTGATTGGGTGTTTAGTTGATTGGGTGTTTGGTTGATTGGGTGTTTGGTTGAACGCGTGTTTGGTTGATTGGGTGTTTGGTTGATTGGGTGTTTGGTTGATTGGGTGCTTGGTTGATTGGGTGTTTGGTTGATTGGGTGCTTGGTTGATTGGGTGTTTGGTTGATTGGGTGCTTGGTTGATTGGGTGTTTGGTTGATTGGGTGTTTGGTTGATTGGGTGTTTGGTTGATTGGGTGTTTGGTTGATTGGGTGTTTGGTTGATTGGGTGTTTGGTTGAACGGGTGTTTGGTTGATTGGGTGTTTGGTTGATTGAGTGTTTGGTTGATTGGGTGTTTGGTTGATTGGGTGTTTGGTTGATTGGGTGTCTGGTTGATTGGGTGCTTGGTTGATTGGGTGCTTGGTTGATTGGGTGCTTGGTTGATTGGGTGTCTGGTTGATTGAGTGCTTGGTTGATCGGGTGTTTGGTTGATTGGGTACTTGGTTGATTGGGTACTTGGTTGATTGGGTGTTTGGTTGATTGGGTACTTGGTTGATTGGGTACTTGGTTGATTGGGTANTTGGTTGATTGGGTACTTGGTTGATTGGGTACTTGGTTGATTGGGTACTTGGTTGATTGTTTTGGCTGGTGGTTAGGTACTTATCTTTTTGGTGTTAGATGTTGAGTATTGATTGACTATTTTTGATATTAATCTAGAACAATCGTTAATTTTACATTCAAACTAAGAGAAAAAACTTACTTGTTGCGCTTATATTTTTCTGCAGTTGCCTCTCTAACTGTTTAAAGAAAATCAATCCGCAAAATAAGCAAATACTTCGTTCCGAATGCGACGGTGGAGCTTGTCGGAAACTGAAAACCTACCAGTGGACATTTTACTTATTCAATAAAGACTCCAACAAATATCAAGCGCAAAGAATATTGGGAAATGTTACAAGTAGCTCTGAGGGTGGAATCGTGTTTGTGATAAATGACTTCAAGGAGCTTATCGGTCATCAAAGCGATGAGGATCAGAAATACAAGATTAAATTAGTTGCATATTTGGACGCTTATACCTATATATCTACAGAAAGGCACCTTATTCTAAACGGAGTCCCAAAGACTGCAAATGAAAAACATGGATGTGATGTCAGCCCAACTGTTGGCATCGCAATGGAAACATACTTCAACATATCATGCAAAAACTGGGAAGATGTCGATGTTCCCCTTAACTATAAATTCATGTATCTCGGTGAATTTGGGACGATTCTCCTCAAGTCTGGTAGCACTTCTGAAATTAGTACCAAACTTCTTCCTGGAGACAAGGAATCCAACTTCAAGTTAGAAATTATCGTTAATATAAATGATGCTTACGGGGTGTCTTCGACAGTGGGACTTGAAGCCAAGGTAGCTAAAAAAATCACAAATATTATATCAATAGTACATATCAGAGTTACACTCTACGATGAGTTTGCAATGATAGAGACCTTTTTTAACACCTTGGACAATTATTCACATGTCTCTATCATTGCAAGCTCACCGTTCGTCTCGCTACGATGCAAAGGCACGGCTACCTTTCAAGATGGTGCAGGAACTGTGAAGGGGGCTATTGTTGCATTTGGGTCAGTTTCTTTACATTTACTATATTGTATTGACCCAAATGCCTCGACTTGAAACAATTGTTCGAAGGCAATAGAGTGTATCGCTGATATCTGCTATCATGGTTATGTGAAGATGATGTCCGGGATTGTTGTGTCTTTGATTACCATGGAAAAAGATCCATTCAGGAAATCGATTCAAAACCGCTCTAAGAGCAAACAAAATTGCAGGCCACGTGTCATTCCCTAGAGTATCATTTCTTTGTTTGGAGGTAGCGCATGGGAAGACACATGTATATGGATATAACTCAAACAATGAATCTTTTGGTGCTTTCCATTTTCGAAACTGGCAAGTCAGACCGGTCCATTCATAAAGAGAATCCATTATTAATCAGAACTGTCCAGCCAGATCAAGCATCCTAAACACTATTCTGATGAAATGCATATAAAGAAATAGGGAAAACTCTCGAGAAAAAGGCCTTCTCTCTTAAATTTATAATGACTAACAAATTGAAAGTGCCCTTATTTTCAACAGAATGACACATAGTCTGAAATGGGAAAACATTACGCCCAAGGTAAAGAAGTCTATTCAAAATGGTTTAGATTTATGGACATCTTATTGTTTTTCATATTAGGTTCTGCTTCCTTCGGAGCAAGAAGCCAATTCAGTTATCCACAACACTGACAGCAAACTAAGGTCTTTGTTGAAGACAGGAAATTCTGACGAAGCTGCTGACCAGTCATTGTTCGTGTTATCGTTGCTTAACTCATTCAAGAAAAATCTACAAACAGATACCAAGGTATGCAACATTGATTAGAATAACAGAAGAATTATTATACTAACTTACTACTCAAATACTCCGTCAGCTTCGTTCGGTAATCATAGCATAGAGGTGAGAAAACACAACGAGCGCGTGGCTGCGTTAAATAGAAGTCCGTAATGAGTGTGAAGAGAAGTATGAGGTATAATCAAGTACGTTTTAATGATTTTAATTTACCTCTTAAAAGCTAAAAAAGATAAACTTAAACTGATACACAAAGATATTCAAAGAACTAACAGGCAACATCGAAATTAACACCAACACAAATTAACAGATTCTAACACTAGGAAATAAAGTTACTAAACATAGTGAATTTCATTAGGCAAAGGATGATATTCTGAATCAAATGAGCCAAGCCGAAGTAAACTCCATATCGCAAGTTTCTAAGTGTGCAAGTGTCGTTAAAACTGCTTCAAAACAGAAAGCAAAGTTAACTCAAACAGCTCAGGTATGTATTCTTTATTATCATAAGTAATAGCATGACCTGAGGAAGATTAACGAACAAATTTACCCAAAACTGTCCCGAGGGAGGACTTGTTAAAGTCCCGCGAGGTAGGCGAAGGAACTTTAAGGTGACTGCCTATTTTTGAACGTTCGATTTGAGCCCACGATGAGCGCCCGTTCAAAAACCGCTGAATAATCTACGAGATGTTTTTGAAGAACCATACACGTCTTTTAAAAGCTTCAAGATGGCAAAACCCTCAAATTTTGAACGGGCACTCTACACTTTTCATAAGCTTATTCGAAAAAACTTCTACAAATCTACTTTATATCAAATTCTTTAGCAAAGTTAATTTTTTCTAACACACCAAAATATAGGCTTTTGTAGGAATTTTTGTTCGGATTTATGAGATTTTCTGAAAGGACGAAATATGACAAATTAATGCATTTCTTTGTCTTTTTGTCAATAATATCCATGTAATATAATGAACAGAATCATTTACTTGCCGGCATTTGTGCAATTATAGAGTCTGTAAAGAGCTATTATCTTGTGAGTTTTTTAAAAATTTAAAAATTGTTTTTATCATTTCCGGTGGCGAAACTTTTGCTTCGAAAATAAAACTCGCACGTAGGCATCTACTAAATGCTGGTTATCCCGAAAACAAGCTCCGGACACCCCATTTTTATTCTCATATTTGGAATCAGCATAAAATTTCACTTTAAGAGGATGTAGTTTAAAAAAAAAGTTTAAATTGTTTTCCAAAGGTAGCCAGTCACCTTAACTAAGGTGGAGGCTGGAGGGACATTAAATCACTATACATCCGAAATGTCATACTATTACTTTTATAATATCAAGATTACCGAGTATGGTAAATTAAAATATAATCTACTTTGGTTAACCTAATGTGGCCTTAATTACGGATTTTTTTCAAAAAGTCTTGATTATCGCTTACTCTAGGGAATCGTGAGCATGAGCCATTTGTAACTTCAAAAAAACATTGCTATTGATGGGTTGCAAGCATTCCCAAAAGAGTCAAAAGACAAAGACATGGCGGCCATTGTGGTGCCGTTAACAATGGATGCTAATGAGAAATCTTTTGTGAAATGGCACCAATATGGCCGCGATGACGTAACGTGCAATCGAAGAATTGCTAGGAGTGAACTACTCATCAAGATTTTTTTCGTTTATGACAGTTTATAGTTAATTTTATATTTAATCTGAAATTTGAATGATAGTAAAGATAAGTGATTTTAACCATCAAGCATTAGTGAGAGAGTGTTACTTGTTTATGAAAAAGAAATTTAAAATTTTTCGAATTCTTTTATTATTCTAGACTAATACTCTTGCACTCATTGAAAGCGCATCAAAAGCGATGACGTCAAATTTAAGCAATAAAAGCGCCAATCTTAACCTCGCAATGGTGGAACTTTTTTCGGGCAATTTAGTGGAAGGAGTGAGCAATGTATTACACTCTTCTCTGGAAAACTCAACCATGACTGCAGTTGCAGGTACTACTCCTAAGAACCCAAATGAAGCTAGCGAGGAGAAGGTGAGTATAGCTCAAAGGAAGATAGCAACGATATCGAGATGCATAGGATTATAATTATGTTGTATCTGACACTTACTTACTTCAGTCAACCCAAGTTAAATATTCCTGAAGAGGGGTTCCAATCCCCTTTGCAAGTCCAAACTTTGGCAACTTCATTTCGTTGTTTAATACTAGATACCAGACTTACATAGTATTATATGTACACGTAAGTTAGCATCAAGACTCTTTCGTTCAAAATGCATCATATTCCAAAATCTCGTCTAATAATGAGAGTACCTTGTAAAAGCACTTTGTCAATAACACTTGTCAATAAAAACTTTAGGGAGTAAATATAACAAGAAGGTCAACAAAGCTGCTCAAGGACATTGCAAATAGCATAACATCCCTCACAACCATCGGTGATGGCCCAAGAGTTTTACGAACGAGGAGTGTCGTCATTCAAGTAGAAAAAAGCACGCCATCTTCATTCAATAACAAAGTTATAAGAGATGAAGAAAATGTTGAGATTATGTTACCGGCTTCTCAAGATTTGTTTTCAAACACTAATTCTACGCCAAAGCTTATAAGCTGTCAGGTATGTATGCCAAGCTGGTTACCCCTTTACTCTGTCGTTTAGCAGCCATAAAAATGTGTATTTCACACAAAAATGATTAGATTAATATCATTCGAATTAAAAGTGTTTATAGTGTTTCAAACACTAATTCTACGCCAAAGCTTATAAGCTGTCAGGTATGTATGCCAAGCTGGTTACCCCTTTACTCTGTCGTTTAGCAGCCATAAAAATGTGTATTTCACACAAAAATGATTAGATTAATATCATTCGAATTAAAATAAAAACAGGCTGCAAAGTTATTTGTTTTATTTGCAGATGCTGGAATACCCATTAAATCCGTTTTACTGGCATCCAAGTTCTATAGCAGTCAAATCATCAGTTGCAGACATAAGTCTACAGACTGAAAACAACCATATCTTGAAGATTTCCTCTCTGAAAAATCCGATCAGTCTCATACTGAAGAAGGAGCGTTTTGATATTAAAGGCGATATTTCTCGTTCCTCCAACCCGTCGTTTTTCCTAAAGCCTCATTCAAATAACAGTGATAACATGCGCTACCACACAATATTTGTGCCTTCGATGTATATGACAGTAACAGTAACTCTTATTCCACAAAAGGGAAAAGAAATTGAAGTCTTTGTAAGCCCAATGAACAGGCCAACATCTTCCAATTACAGTTATGCTACAAAAATTCCTGATGTTTCTTCATGTACGGACAAAGACRTCAACAGTTTTAAGCCAGCAAATTGTTCTCGTGATCCTTATGCAATTGAAATCACGAGCAACATTACTGGTAAGACAGGCTTACATTTCGTAGGTCTACGACTTCTCCACCATAAACAAAATAAAAGTCTACCTGTAAATACAACAAAGACTGTCTGGAGAAGATCAGTTCTACAAGAGTTCAGCCTTCTCCAGCACCATAATCTTGCCAACAAACAGAAGAATATGAAAAATAGTCTTTTTCCTCTGTTGAATAATAATTTACAAGACAATAGAAAGAAAAGGGAAGCTTTGAAGGAACATAGACGTGAAAGACGATCTTGTATAAAAGTCAAAGATCCTCCTCCTATTCCTGCTCCTTCAAAGTTTGTTCTAGATGTCCAGATTTATAATCCAGAGACTGATGTTAGTTACCAGTTGAGTAGTTCAGTGTCTGCATGCATGTTCTGGTCTGAAGCAGAGCAGCAATGGAAAAGTGATGGCTGTAAGGTAAGCAATATCGGTACTTTGCAGTATCATGGTCCTCACTAAATAACTTCCTGATTCTCTTCGTTATTTTGAAGTAATTTAAAGTAAGGAAAATGATAGATTTTGTATCTTTTCAGCTTGGAACAAAGTCTAATTCAACTCATATCCATTGCCTGTGTTATCACATGACCGCGTTTGGAGGCGACTTTTTCATAGCTCCAAACCCCATTGACTTCGACAAGATTTTCTTTGAGTTCACCCAACTTGGAGAGTCAAAGAACTACGTAGTCTTATCAATAGTCTTTATCATTTGGTTGGTGTACTTTGTTGGACTTGTTTTTGCAAGGAAAGCAGATCTCTACGATAAACAAAAGGTAATTGAAATATATTATTAGGACGAAGAATTTGATCCTCAATGGTGAGGCAATTGTCGATGAGTTTGAATACTTTCGATTTTTCGGGCAAAATCCGTGACTATTAGTATCAGTTGATATGTCATTACTGGTAATGTTTTCCAYTCACTTTTGAATATCTACGAGGTGAAATAAAGTAATGCACTTTTTCGTAATTCAGAATAGGATAACGTCAATGAATCTAAAGGGATAATTAGCTTGGACTGATTACCCTTGTATTCGATGCTACGCCTTTTGAAAGGAAAAACTGTCCCTTACATTAATGTCTCCCTTCAGAGGGCCTTATACTATGGTCACGTCGTGTATCTGACTGCAGGGTGCATTTTCATTTCAAAACAACGTGTCTTTTTGTTATATTCACAGATTGTAAGCTGTTATGTAAATCCATCGGAAGAGTCAATTGGTAATGACTTAAAAACTTACAGAATATCAATACAAACAGCTTCATGGATAGGTTCTGGGACAACGGCCAGTGTCGGAATGACAATATATGGTGATGATGCAAATAGTTTGGTATCTTTGTATTTCAACAACACTGATTCTGACAAAAAGCTGTTTGCAAGAGGAAGTGTTAATACATTCTTTGTCAGCCTACCGGAAACTCTTAACAATATTTTTAAACTCACAATATGGCACGATAACTCCGGAAGCGAGCCTTCTTGGTTTCTTCAAGATGTCCTCATATCAGAAGAGGATGGTTCAAAGCAATGGAACTTTTTGGCCAATCGTTGGCTTGCAGTCGAAAAAGAAGATCATTGTACCTCTGCTGACATTTTCTTGACAGAAGATAACGAGTTAATGAAGTTTAAGAATCGACTTTACACAAGAGCAGCAAAGCAATTTGCAAACGCTCATTTATGGCTTTCTCTCTTTACCAAAAGTGTCCACAGTCCGTTTACCAGGTGCCAAAGACTTTCCTGTTGCTTACTGGTCGTAATGGCAACGATGGTATCAAATGCAATGTTCTATCAGTTCGGTACCAAGTTCAATGACATATTTCTCATTGGTCCTTTGCAAGTCAGTTTGAATGGAATTAAAACTGGGATTCAAAGCAGCCTCATTGTCCTTCCTATTAGCATTATTACTGTTCTGATCTTTGATAACGTCAAGCAGAAACAAGTTGTCACTGATGAAAATGAATCTATTTTAGTAGAACAAAAAGTAAATGGATTCGTGCCACAGCCTTTTGTTCTGATTGCATGGTTTTTATGTATCTCTGGTGCTACAGTTTCTTCCTTGTTTACTGTCTTTTACAGCCTGATGTGGGGCGCAGACATAGCCAATCAGTGGCTTGTATCCATAATGGTATCTTTCTTACAAGATATATTTCTAACACAGCCTATCAAAATAATCGTCTTGGTATCTTTGCTGGCACTGATCATCAAAAAGCCAATGAACAACCATGATGACGTCATTATCTCTGGCAACCACGAACTTATATCACATGAAGCAGTAGAAGTACCAACTGAAGAAGAATTGAATGAAGCACGTATTTTTGCAGAAAGTAGATCAACTTCCAAGCATTTTCTAACAGAGTTGGTCTTATATCTACCTTTGGTTATACTGTTATTCATTGTATGTTATGGAAACAGAGACTCCCAAAGATTTATGTTGTCAGACTCCCTTCGGAATATTGCACCTAACTTTAATAAAGTGAGTATGACATGTCGGTCTGTAACTGTATCTTGAGAAAATAACTTTTAGGTACATAAAGAACTAAAAGTAAATTGAAAAAATTTCAACTGAAGGAACTACCGACGTTAAATAAAGGTACTTTAGCTTTCTTCTTTCGTTCGTTCGTTCGTTCGTTTGTTCGTTCGTTCGCTCGTTGGTTTTTGTTTTTGTTTTGTTTTGTTTTGTTTTGTTTTGTTTTGCTTTGCTTTGCTTTG